TTCAATTCTTTCAGAAAACTCGCAATAGAGGGAGCTTCCTTAATGCGATCTGGAAGAGAATTCCAAGCTATAGCTGCTCTATGCTTAAAAGATAGTCTTCCCGTTTCCGTTTTTGGTTTAGTGATATTTATATTCAAAATCTTTCTTAGATTGTGTCAGTGTTCCTGCTTCGAAACTAAGTTATTAAGGTAGTCATTAAAGAGACCATAATATGATTTATAAGTTATGGATAGTACCCTTTTCGTGTAAAAATATGAAATAGGGGACCATCCCCTCAGCTTACACATGTCGTCCATATTGATGTCCCTAGGCAGATTATGGATTAACCTTGCAGCTCGCAGGTGGACACGCTCCATTTTTTCCATCAATACCAGTGAGCATGAGCCCCATACAGCAATCCCATACAAGACAGATGGAATAATAGTCTTGAAATAAATAGACTCTAGAATAGACTTAGTAGGAATTTTATACTTTTTAATATAGCGAGTTTCTTGTTAAACGTTTTACAGACAGCCATGATATGTTCTTTCCACGATAAGTTTTGACCAATGATAAGACCGAGACATTGAGATGATGACTTAAACTTGATGACACTCTGGTCATATTTCAATAGTGGCAAGGGACCAATAAAATCATGTTTCGACAACAATAAAGCCTCATATTTTGTCTCATGGGCAGTCAACCTGTTTGAGCTGCACCAGGAAAGGACTTGATCCAGAATCGACTGTAAAACCACTATAATACTGTCTATGTCCTTACCAATAGTGAAGATGGTGGCATCGTCGGCAAACATAAATAGGTCCCCATCAGTAACAGCCTCCGGAAAATCGTTTGCATAAATTGAAAATAGTCTTGGACCCAAAATAGATCCTTGTGGAACACCATATTTTATCAATCTGGGTCCAGACTTTATACCAGCTAACTGGACAAATTGGCGACGCTCACATAAGTATTTGGTAAACCAAGACAGAAAGTCTCCTGAGACACCCATTGCTTTAAGTTTTTGCAGAAGAATTAAGTGATTCACAGAATCAAACGCTTTTCTGAAGTCAATAAAGGGGATCCCAACTTTCAATCCCGTGTCTAGGACTTCTTTCCAGGTTTCAGTGAGGTAAAGCAAAAGGCCTTCAGTAGAATAGTTTTTACGGAGGCCCTATTGTTTATTACTTAACAGGCCTTGAGATTCGATGTGATGGTCCAGAGAGCTGCGGACTACATCTTCCAAGATCTTTCCTGGTACGCTGAGGAGAGAGATTGGTCTGTAGTTATTCACATCAGTTGATCTACCTTTTTTAAAAATAGGATTGACACGAGACAGTTTCCAGTTGGAAGGGTAGGTAGCTTCATTGATACTTTTCCTGAAAAATGGCAGCAGACTATGAACAACTGAGTCACCAAGCAGAGCGAGGTCTTTGTACAATACCAAGTCTGGGCCAGAAGCTTTCTTTGGGTTTGCAGCCTTGATCACCTTTCGCTTAACAGTGTCCCAGTTGAGGTCGATAGAACTAGATGATGGGGTTACACGACTAATATGGGTTTGTAGGAGTGAACAATCCAATGGTTCCAGGTTTTTCATAAGATTTTCACTAATATTGACAAAGAAGTCATTGAAGTGTTCGACTTTCCTGAAATTATCAGTAATAGTAGCATTGTTGCAGTAAATGGCTTGAACCCGGGGGTAACATGTGAAGGTGTAGTCTGATCGTCCGTACAAACGACTCATTCACGACATAAACATCACAAACGGCCTAAAAAGAACGACCTAACTTTACCGACAGATCGAAACAGACAAATCACGACCGACTTACGTCACTTGAGTCTTACTGTCAATAACATCACGGCAAAACCAACCGATCATTTCACACAAACTGGAATAAGAACATTCTACTGACAAAAATCATTAACTTGACTCTGATGTTGACTTCCGCACAGGTTGTCGAAACGTCAGTCACAACCACCGACAACAGTCCTTCTCAGGACTACACTCACCCGGACGATCAGACTACACCTTCAGTAGCATTGTTATTATCGATTATTGGGCCTATAGACTTAACCTTAGTTTTCCTGAGCACTTGATCAGTCAATTTCTAAACTTCTTTGGGATTTTTGGACTCCTTGACCATCTTGTGCCAGTAAGTAGCCTCTGCTTTTTTTAGAAGCTTCTTTACTGCATTCCTCTTGCTTTTGTATTGCATCCGTTTGTCTTGATCTCCTGTAGACTTAGCTTCCTTCAATAGCCTATCTTTGGTTCATTTGCTTCCTAATTGAAGAATTGATCCATGGCAGGGATTTATCTTTCACTTTGACCTCTCTAGATGGTAGGTGCTCATTCAAAACATTTTTATATAGATATTCTAAGGTATACAAGCTGTCGTCAATATCATCAAAGATGCTAGCCACATACCAGGGTGCCTGATCAAAGTCGCGCTTCAGCCTATTAATATCCACTGACGTATACTTCTTCACTGAAATAACTTTTGGTTTGGCATTTTTCTGTGTAAGTTTTACAATAACAAAGACCAAATGATGGTCGGAGATACCAAGGTCAACAGAAGAAGACTTTATCACTTTGGATGGGTGGCTGGTAATGACGAGATCGATTAAAGACTCTGAATGGTCTGAGATACGAGTTGGACTGTTTATAACATTTGTAAGACTAAAGCTATGTATAATGTTTTTAAGTCGTCTGCCAAGATTTGATTCATTGTTACCTGAATTAATCAGCAAATCACAGTTAAAGTCCCCAATGAGGACAACATTCTTCTTATTCAACCAGACATTTGTCATCAATTCTCGAAAGCTATCGAAAAAAGATTATCTTGGGGTGGCCTGTATATACAACCAATGAGAGATGACTGGGACCTCATAGTAACGTTTACCCACGATGCTTCGATGTTGTATGAATCCCAGGTATGCACAGGGTGAATTGTAAGGCTCTCTTTAAAGTATACAAGGTCGCCACCACCATGCCTGTCGCGATCCTTTCGCACGAAGTTGTAATTCGATATCGAGATCCAATCATTTGAGACATCCTCGTTTAGATGAGTTTCTGAGATGCCAAGGATTAGTTGAACTTCGCATAGTTTACTAACCAAGCCGTTAACATTTAAGTGGCCAATTTTCAGCCTTTTATCGCCGATTTCTTGTCGCAAGGAAGTAAGGATGTCTTCATCGGGCACTAGAGGTACGCTCACAGAGTCGCGGAGTTGATCGTTCGCTTCAGTGGATGCGCAGCCAGTCGAGGTTGATGTTTCGGCGAAAGGTAATGCAGATAAACAACATGCCGAACACATCCCATAAAACTGGTGTTTTTGTTGAAGATTTTTGTATTGGCTTGGTTTCACTCGGCCACAGTTATATGGCACCAGAGTTCAGTGATCGCAGTTCAGGGCTCTGTGATTTCTAGCTACGATCAGACATACAGCTGCTGCTCTGTTTGATTTGGAAGCAACTCTTAGAAGAAATGACTTGGAGACTTGCACCTCAGTTTCTTGCCTTTGGGTGAAAGGGAAAAGAATCACAGAAAATCCTGTTCTCATGGAAAATGTTAAATTTCAAAAATCAGAGTATAGAAAAATATCTAAGGATTGTCCAAAACCTCATCACTTTAACCCTTTGTGCTCTGATAATCTCTCCCAGTCATTCCAAGAGAAGTTTTATAATACTTTGTTAGAAGCTGCCCCTTCATGTGTAGCTTTGCAGTTTATGACAAAACCCCCCGTCCAGGCTGTGAGCGAGGAAGAACTCTTGGACCAGATCACATATGCTGACATTGATCATGAGGAAATAGTAGAATATGCAGAGGGGTATTCCCTTAAAGAGTTAGCTGACATATTTGTTGCTCAAAATAATTTTGAAAGTTTGTAAAATCCTACATATGAGCATTGTAGTAGCTTTTTAGAGTTTCTGCATCATTCTGAGTTTGCAACTGAGGTAATATTTCAGAAAACAATGAGTCAAAGTACAAGTAATTCAGAATTTTGGTTTTCACAGAGGGCAGGGAGGATAACTGCCTCCATATTTTACAAGGTATGCCACATGAAAGAGACAACCAATTCTAAAAATACAGTGAATTTGCTAATGAATTATTTTCCTCTTAGAGAGGATAGCACCCCACATCAGCTTCCTTGGGGTCATGAGAAGGAAGTTGTGACCATCAAAGTGTATATCAAGAAACATAGAACAAAACATAGGGGTTTGGAGGTTTTTCGAAGTGTTCTTATTGTAGACAAGCAGTATCCATATCTGGTAGCTTCTCCAGACAGAAATTCAAGTTTGTAAGTGTTGTGCCAAGACACTTCTGGAGGTCAAGAGCATTTTTAGCAAGAGAAATCTTTAACCCCATGTTGCAGCAGCTCACTGCCTTGATGTAGTGGCTGGCAAATACTATGTAAAAAAAGAGACATCTTGGAACTATCAAATGCAACGACAGCTAGCTTTAGCAAGATTGGAACAGTGTAATCTTATCATTTACACCCTCAAGGGAATCTTAGTGGTACCTGTTACATTTGACAAAGAACTGTGGGATAAAATGGTGGGGAAGCTATCAAAGTTCTTTTTGGAACACATGGTGCCTGAAGTCCTCAGTGGAAAGATTCTTGAAGAGGTTACTCACACTTGAGTAACAATTCAAGCTCTGTCTATCATAAAGCCAATTTATACACTTACAAGATGCAAAATAGTCTTAATGACCTGTTTGCAGGTTAGAGAATACACTTGTTTTTTTGCATGTTGTGTTTTTAACTCAAGAAATATATGACAGTACTCCAAGATCCATATATTGTAAACACGACAGAAGTGATTGTGGATCACCAGTCTTTTTTTTTGTAAACCAGTGTTATCTTCTGTGGATGAATTCCAAAAAACATTCTTTGTTTGTGAACTAAACCAACAGTTTTAAGTGGGTTAAGTTAAGGGTAAGATAAATCTGAAAGATTTCTTTGCATTGTGAAGTTAGTTTTAGTTGTTTCTATGACAAATTGGAAGCATACTGGAGAGTTCTACTTTGCAAGTGGAGGTAGTAGACTACACAAAGCAGCACAAACTATTAATATTTTATCAGCAAGAGGTACAAGTGGTATAGGCAGATTTCCTGGTAGAATATGGAAGTCTTTCAGTCTCTCAATGGCTCTGTCAACATGAATTCTTGCACTGGCAATTGATCTTGTTGTCTTCAGTGACTTTTTGGACAGTTGCTGACCTATTTTGAAAGAAATAAAAAATTAATGTTTAATATTGACTTTTCAATCCTTTGTTAAGTCTCTATTTCAAGTCGAGATTGTCTTTATAATGTGACTCTTAAGTTACAAACATCCATGAGAGGAAAGGATGCTACTAATGACTGTTGTGTGCATGGTGGGTAAGTAGGGGACTGTCCTGTAAATAGCAATAACTTGAGGGTTGAGTTACCTTTTTTAGAGAAGGGAGGCATATTTAGGAAGGCCTTTCGCTTTGTCAGCAAGTCTCTGATTGCAAACCCTCTGTCAGCCATGACGTGGTCCCCTTCCCCAATCAATTCCAAAATTCCACTTTTTTGGGTGAGTTTGCGGTCACTTGTACTTCCACTCCACAATTTTGACACAAAACTGAAAAATCCCGATGGAGTTATTCCAACTAACGTTTTGATAGCGTTATGGCTCTTATATTCGCTCCACGTGGCTCGCTGTGCAGCAGGAGAGGTAGGTTTCTGAATGAATATCTCCGTACAATCAATTATAACCCTAGTGGATGGATAATTTCTAAATGACCCGGGAAAGTTTAGGCGAACCATTTCTTTAGAAGGCCAAGTCAACAAAACATCTCTCAAAGTAACAGTAAGAAAAAAGATCCAGGTGGTGAGCACCATACAAACAGAAGACTTAGAGATGGAAGGAGTGTCTAACAGGTGTTGAACAAGTAAACCCAATCGAAGTCTTACCAAGGTCAAAATAAATTCTTGCAAGATGATTAGACTTCTCCTTTTGCCACTCTTTTTTACAGGTCTGTATTGGAAATTGACTTTTTTCCCCTTATTGCTGTCCCAGTATTTCAGTTTCTCGGCTGCAGGTTTAAGTAGATTAAATATCGCCATAAGACAGGCCAATGTTGGAAATCCCATGTAGAATTTCACGGGTTCGTCATTTTTCAGTATATCGTCCGTGAAAAGTTTTCGTTTTAATGCGGGCTTGTCATTGAGTTCGTTTCGAATTCCATGTTCTGTTGTTCTCCGCTTGTCGTATCGACACATTTTGGATGTTACCAGAACTGGTAACGGGGAACGGGTGTACAGCGGTAACCCGCCTGAGAATTCAAAATGGCGGAGTAAAGGGAACTAAAAGGGTCTGGCAACTAGTTTTGAGCACGTGCTCTTCGAACGCGATCGTCGGAGCAAAGAGCATGGACGGTAAGTGTACGGTTTATTGAAGGATTTTACTTTGAAATGTTGAGTGCCTCATAAATTTAGTTTTTGTCTGGTAGACATTGCAGGTTGCATAGAAATCAAATCCTCGGAGAGGTGAGTATCTTACAATTCATGCACAACATTTGAACAATCAACTCAGAACTACAAGCTCGCGGCATTTAGCATGTCTTCAAAGCTTCTTTGAGGGCCTTTCGAAGATTAAATGTTAAATTAAATGTTAGATAAAGTCCGGCAAAGTTTGCTTTCTCTATTGTTTACATGGAAGTTTATGGGTCGATACAAAGATATGTTCCTGATGTTATCTTGTGAGGTAAGCAGATATCTGTATGTAGTAATTTTAATAACTAGGCTGGTTATTACGTTTCCTAGCTCATTTCTGTTAATCTAAGATATTACCTCCTTGCTACTTATCTGCAAAAAATGATGTTGGGCAATGCAAACAACCAACATACCCAAACTCTGCCAAAAGATGCAGATTTCAGGAAGGAAAAACAAAGAGAGAGGTCAGAACAAATGGTGGCAGCCATTGCAGAAACGTTGACTTCAAATTCTCGCCTCTGAATACTAGGCTTCGTGGCTTCGCCTGGGCAATAGTTAAATATAACCGAGTCGTCTAATTTCGCTGCAAGCGGCGACCTAGCGATTTGTAAACATCGTTTACTCCGCCATTTTGAATTCTCAGGTGGGTTACCGCTGTACACCCGTTCCCCGTTACCAGTTTTAGTAACATCCATACATTTTTGATCAAATCGTCCATTTGTTGGTGATCAATGTCCGTTTAACAAGAAACAGACACACACTCCTTTTCCTTGAATTCTTTTATTCCATGCACTTTGTCTTTCTTTAGCACGTAGTCATTGAGACATGGAAAATTTTGGCGGGAAATACTTCTTTGTTGTCTTCAGTTGAATTTCGTTTTCAGTGGAGACATGGAAAATTTTGGCGGGAAATACTTTTTGTTGTCTTCAGTTGAATTTCGTTTTCTCCGCTCACTGGAACTTTTTTCGCGTTGATTCGAACATCTAGGGACTGAATATGGATTAAAAATTGTTAGAACCGTACCTTGTACTAATTTTTTGATCCCAGAAAGTTTCTTTACGATTTGTTTCGTCTCAAAGTGTTCAGAGCATATGTGTAAGTTCTTGACTGACGTAAACTCCTTATCAGCCCGACGACAGAAGACAATCCATTTTTTTCTAAGCCTCTCTTCGCCTGGAAACTCGAAAAAGTTGAGATCCCGCCGTTTTTTAGAGTTATTTTTGCACACAGCGATCGCACAAAACTTGATATCACACTTACAGTCGCTACGATCTGCTTTCAAAATAAGCATTTATTCCCCTCAGCCTCGACTTGGTACTCTTAATTAGTTACCAGACTTTCTCGCACTAACAATTCGAAACTAGCCTATTGGCTGAGTTTTCAATCGTACCATTACGACTGTCACAGCTGCTAACGCTAGCGGCGGTCCACGCACTGAAGCTTTGCGAGAAATTGATGCTAACAGCCTTGCACTTCAATCAGTAGGTTGGTAATCATGACACAACAGCAATGAATAACGGCAGTGATGGTCTTTCACCAATGCATCGTTCAACAACTCTCCAGTGAATATTTCCATCAACTTTCAGTCGAATGCTCATCCCAACGATTCAGCTAATGGCAGTTGCCTGTAGTGAATTTCTACAAAAAAAAATCAAAGTATTTGGACTTTTCATGAAACACTTCTTTGTTTTTAAAAGAAAAAAATATCGATCAATACACGTATTTACACTACAAGGTACTCACCTTATATTAATCGCGATGTTAAACTTTCAGTGCTTTCCCTTGCACACTTCATTTCTTTCCGTTTTGCCACCAAAGAGATAAAAGTTGTAAATTATTTTCCTTCTCGAGCAAATTCAGTGGAAATTTGAAAAAAAGATGTTAAAAGTAAACGGCTTGTAAATTCTGTGAAATACCACCATTATCCTCAAATAGTGTGAAGCTTGCTTAAAAAGTTTGAAACCGAATGTAAATACAAGCAGCCCCTCCAAATTTTTGGCAACTCAGATTTTTTGGGCAGCACGAGAAATTTGGGCAAAGCTATTTTTAAAGAAGCTTACATGTGTCTGTGCATTTTTTTTCGAAGAGATATTTTCTGTTTCAAACTGAAGTCAGCGTTGTTAATAGGCTCGATTTCCACCGTCTCCCAGGTCCGGTCTTTGATCTTCCCCTTCGGGAGGATGAGTGCGGGCTTCTTTTCCCGAACAGTGACTGGTAATCGAGCCTACGTTGTAAAGCCAGTTAAATTCACACGAGACATGGTTGCCTAGCACGTGGTCACTTTCTGGTTATTTTTTTAAGGGGATCATATGCATATGTTGATATATATACATATTTGTACTTTTTTTGTTGGGCACTGTGCTGTGCTGCACTAGTTAGTGTGGGGAATTTCCAGTCGTGGATTAATTACCAGCCGCACAAAAACGTAAGCGGGCCTATCGCCATCGCGTTACCTGTTCCGAATGTGAAAAAGACATCGTTGCTGAGTACCAGGCATCCTCGGAGACCCAGGGGCTGTGGGTCGATTTCGAGTTAGGGCATGAAGAGCCCCTGGGGACATTGTCTTACAAGACTAGTTCCAAATGGTCGCAGTCGTTCTGCCATCTGATTGGTGCCAGAAAATCTTTGTGTTTTTCTGCCCAATCAGAGTGAAGTGTGCTTTGGAGTCCTTTCGTGTGTTGTAACACGGACAAATGCTAATAGCTCAGTTGCTCGCTATGTTTGTTTGGGCCGTGCGACGGAGATTTGCTTGAGGTGAAAAGTTTCAGTCTCAGCACACAATGTAAGAGAAATCGATCAGATTGTCCGCGAAAATCTTACCGGAAATTATACTGAATACTTTCGCAGGTATCACTAGAGAACGTGTTTTAAAGTTTGCGAGGTTTGTATACAACACGATGGTTGCAGTCATTGATATGTCGCTTTAAACGTTAAACGAGATTTAAGCTTAAATCTTTCTAGATTTTTTGCATAATTTGCTGTGACTGAAACTTTGCCAATCCCGTGAAGTTATTTCGTCGCACGGGCCACGCAGGTATGTCGAGCAACTGGCGCTTTCGCCTACGTAGCTTTCTGCTTTCTGTGCGCGCCAAAATCTAATCTTCGCTTTGTAGTAAAGTCGTTCACAATACGGCTTAAGTTCGTGGACGACCTCCAGCAAGCGCTTAGAGAAAGCTTAGCTGTGTTTCCGGTTAGCTAATTAAAATCTGAACAAAAACTTATTAACGAGAACATCGTGG